CATTTGAAATATATGAGTTTGTATGTAATGTATGAATATAATATACAAGTTTCAATTTTTAAATGGAATTACTGAAATAAATCTACTTTTTCATGATATTCTAATTTTATGACCAGCACCTGTAGATTTAAACCATCAGCTCTTCAGTTTTTAAAGAAAAATCATTAAACTCAGTCTTACAGGAGGTAAATAACACATTCAGCTGATTTATTGAAGTGACAGGAAGTGGTTACAACTTTAAACACAACTTTTATTTAAATTATTTAAAGATAAATATTAAGCTCTTGTTACAGATATTAAACTTAAACGTGTTGTGCGACTCTTCACACTGTTGATCTTTTTTCACAGTTATTGTGCTGTTTTATTTGTTCATATATGGAAACATTCAGCTCTTTCATGTGAGGCCTGCTATGACTTCATATTTCAGCTTTTTATACCTTTAGCTGTTTCACCTTTTTAGCCTCTTTTTTCCCGTTGAAAATGAATGGAGCTGTTTTCAACAAGCTTAAAATCCTTTAAAATGTTTCTAAATATTTACAGCACGTTTTGTTCTGGTTGTGTTCTTTTCCATGTTTTTGTGTTAATTTTAGCTACTTTTTTACTCATTTTTTTCTATTTCAGCTAAAATTCTGCTTCTTCCTGTTATTCTTCTGCGTTTTTCAACTTTTTCCTGCTACTTTGTGCTTTTTATGCTTCTCACAGATGCTTTCTGCCATATTCAGCTATTTGCTGAAATTTTAGCTAATGTTTAGCTGCCATTAGCTAAAGTTAGCTTTTCTAACCTAAAAACACATTTTTTGGTCGTTATTACAAATTTTTTTGACTGAGTTCAGCAAATTTTTGTTCCTTATGCTAATTAAATAATTACCAGCTTCTTTTTAGCTGTTTTACTGAAAATTTTAGCTGTTTCAGTTATTTTACTAGAAATGATCACTTTTATGTAATTTTCTGCTCTTTTTTTCTCTTTTTTCAACTATAATTATTTCAACTAGGTGCTAATTTAAAATTGTGTCTGCCTTTTTTTAGCTTATTTTATGCTAATTTTAGCCATTTTATGCTACTTTAGCTATAGATCTGCTTCTTTCTGCTATTCTTCTGATTTTTTTTCTACTTTTTATTCTTCTTTCTGCTACCAAGTGCTATTTATGCTTCTTAAAGATGTTTTCAGCTATATTCAGCTATTTTAGCTCTTAGCTTTTAGCTGTTTTCTGTTTGTGCTCCTTTTTACTGTTTTTCTGCTAAGTTTTTGCTTCTTTCAGCTTTTCTAAGTGAGCTCACATTAACTCTGTTCCTGTTAAATATTTTCAGCATGAAGCATTCACACTAGCATTTTCACAGGAAATACAATTTCTCCAGTTTAAATAAAATTCAACAAACATAAGCTTTAAATTTAAATCAGATTTTAAAATTTAACAGTTGATCCAAAAAGAGGCTGTAAAAGTTGGATACATCCTTCCCAGCCTGTGACCTGGAGGTATGGAAATAAATTGKGATGTAGAGGTTTAAAATGTTAGAAATAAAATCACGTTTCTGCAGATAAATTATAAAAYCCAACATTAATCTCTCTGTTTGATATAAAATCTGTTTTTGTTTTGTGTTAAACCTCATTATGTTGAGTCGTTTCATAAAGTATTGATCTTTGCTGCCAAAATAGCTTTAATTAACTGATTACAGTGGTTTTATAATTAAAACAGTGGTTTTATGGGTGTGTTTAGTCATAGAAGGAGTTTTGTGTTTCAAGGTGGACGAGGAGGAAGAGGAGGGTCAGACGGTGAAGCTGTCCAAATTGAATGGAGTGAGGAAGACTGAGGATGAGGAGGACAGGAGAGAGATGATCACTCCTGCTCTGAGAGAAGCTCTGACCAAACAAGGTGAGGAGAAAACGTTTCCRAACCGTACCTGGAGGGTGACGAGGAGAGATTCAGTGTGGCAGGAGCGTTTTCAGCCAGCACCTCCCACTGTGGCCTTACACAAGCCCTCTATAAATAGACGCTCCCAGCAGGACGTCAGCCGTTTGACCAAAGCCTGACCTGCTTCATGGTTCTGCTGGCTGCAGGCCGTCCCAGCAGGTGCTGTCTTTTAGTCAAGAAGAAGAAACACGAGGTTTGGAGCTGGTTTCACAGGATTCAGTCTCTTTCTGAAGCTCCTCCACTGCAGCCAGCAAAGTTTGAACAAACTGCTGCCATCAGCAGAGCTCACCACGCTACAGCTTTACGTTTGTACTGGTTTTCAACCAGAGAGAGACGCTTTAATAAAAAATAAATAAATAAGGTCGTATTCAGACCTGATAATTTGCTCCGCTTTAAACGAATCAGAGTTTGTTTCCAGCGTTGGTCCGGAC